GGGGGGGGGGGGGGGGGGGGGGGGGGGGGGGGGGGGCGTCGTGCCGAGGGAGTACACTACTGCTACTATTTACTGCTTTGACCGAGGGGAGCAAGGGATTGCGGCCAGAGTCTGCGGGTGACGCCAGTCAGTACGCGTGGCGATGGGACCATGTTCGGTAGTGATGTCGTGGAGATATGTTTTCGTTTTTCGGTGGGAGTGGGCTGTCAGGAGTCCTACATACCTACAGATGTCTACCGTTCGGCGTCGGTGAGTCCGGCTGTTGGCGGGTCTTGGTTGAGGCGTATTTCCAACAGAAACAGGGGCATCGTTCTTGGGTTGAAATCTCCGTTAGACGCGACTCACATCATTCCGTACGCGTATGAACACGATGCCTCATGGATCCGCCTCTGCCGTAGGTCTCATGGCGTAAGATATAACACGACCCTGGACCGGTTTTCAAAGAGCCCTTCTTCTTCCTCCACCTCCTCGCTCCACACCTTAGTATCCCTCCCCACACACTCGATGCTGCATCCATGTTGTTGATCAACCTTTTGATCAAAATATCTCTAAATATGTCGCAATGGCCAGCGCCTCCAAGCTATGAACATTTCTGATGGATAAATACCCCGAATACATCACCAAAGCCGGCGTCTGCAACGATGAACCTTTGTGATGAAAATACACCGGAAACACACAAAGAACGGCGGTGTCTCTAACAATGATGAACTTTTCGATCAACGTACGCCAAAAAAATAACGATAGGAGGCGTCTCCAGCGCCGGTGCCGTGGGCGTCTTCGGAGCCGGGGACGGAGGGGTGGACCAATCATCGCTGGCGGTGTGCGCCTACACGGACGACAGGGTGGTTTACAGGGTGTTGCTGCAGCGGCCGGCAGCCCCTCCCGGCGACAAGGTAAGAGCGAGCTCCAAAGTACCCACCGTACGAAGAGAGAGAGAGCCCGCGCGAGACGGTTGGGGTATGTGGTAGCGTTTTGTCTCTTTGATGTCGCGGGGGGCGGTGGGTGGGTGTTGACGTTTAGATTATTTCTGTATTTCGTGATCTCTCTGTGCTTGTTGACGTTGCAGGATGAGTTTTTAGTTGCAGCGCTTGATTTTCAGCTCGCACACCGCGCAGAAGACGCGCTACCAAGCGCTGACGGTGCCATACAACTCGGACTGCTCTCGCTACCACGTGACTTCACGGCCAAAACGAACCCACCCCCCGGTGATCATGAACCCGATCACACCTATTGGTGTCCTTACACGCAGGAGTTGCATGCACGCCGTTGCGCCGCTCCTGCTGTATGCGTGTCTTTGAAGGCACAATCCGCGTTGAGCGCCATGTCGGCGCCGCAGGGGCGCAAGGTGGCGAAGCTTGGCTGCAGGGAAGGCGGGCGCGGCCCCAGCTGCTGGATAAATAGGTGCGGGGACGCGCTGTTTGCTGCTCCTATTTGCAGTATCCAGCCTTCAGCAGCGTATTTGCCCCCCCCCTCGCCGTTTCCTAGCCAAGCAACTATACATCGCGTTTTGGTGGACCCGCGCCCCCCCATACCTTTCACTTGTGTCGCTGTGGAGGGTTGGTTTGTACCGTTTATGGAAGCTACCAACGTTATAGAGGATTCACGCATTGCAGACAGTAGATAGACGTCCCGTCCCCGCCCTCCTCCCCCCTCTCTCCTTGTTGTTCTCGCGCGCACCATCACCGATGTGTCTTGGTCCTTTGGTACTTCGCCCTGTTGTGTGTGCTGGTACTTTGTGTTGCTTTGGATAGCATGGGTCGCGCTAACCGGCTGAATACCAATGAAAATACGTCACTCTGTGCGGCTGAAAACAGAAATTTCGTGTATTTATTGTCTGTGTTTCTTTGCTGTTAACATCGACCGCGCTAACCCGCTGCTGATGAATGAAAAGACGTCGGTCTTGCGATATAAACTAAACGAACACTCTCGGCCTCCCCCTGCAGGGGGGTTTCTGCAAACTCTCTCGCTGCTGGTGTCCCCTTTCGTCCTCCTGAGTATTGCTATCTGCGTAGGGCTGTTGTGTTTGCAGCTTCGCTAATCTCGCCTCGCCTTCGCCGCGTGGTGCCTCCCCGGTGCCAGCTATCGTTTTTTATCAAGAAATTTTGTTCATACAGTCCCGAAGAGACTACTTGAAGTATTTTTTCCCCTCTTTTCTTTTGTTGCATGGTGCCTCTCTTGTGTCCAGTATCGTTAGTTTCTTCAAAGAAGTACACATTGTCACTACATGCACTGTTTTTTTTTTTTTTTCATTTTGTCTGTGCCAGGGATCTTCTTGTTGTCGGCGGGATGGATGGGAACCTGCATTGTGTCACGATCGCGGAGGGCATCGACGGGCAGGTGTGAAAAATCAGTCATATCAAACCGAAGGAACCAAAGGTTTTCCCTTCACCTTTGAATGGCATGCAGCATGATCCCTCCACGACTGGGATGATCCCTTCATGACGGGAAATATGTGTTGGTTTGTGTTTTGAAGGGAATCTTGGAATCTTGTGTTTTTTTTACCACCGCGCGTGTGATACGTTATCCCGGCAATTTCTTTCTTTCTTCGTCTCTCGTCATTTATCTCTTTCCTTCGCCCTTTCTCTGTTTCCCTTTGTTCGCTTTCTTGCACACTTGAAAAAGACGGCCTCTTTGTGCGAGGAAACCCTGAGGGTCAAGACCGGCTGGAACCCTCTCGCCGTGGGAAGCGGAGACAACGCTAGCGCCGTCGCTGTCACCGGCTTCTGGCGAGAGGAGGTGCGACCGTTTCGTCCACTCGCCCCCAACCTTATCCATGTTGGCAGACGGCTCTTTTTTTTTTGTTCTTATTTTTTTTTTTTTTGGCGCTTGGCTTTCCTCTACTCTTTCGGCCACCCCACCCCACCCC